TCGACCGCGTCCGCTCGCTCTGTGTGTCTTGAAGTACAACAAATCACAAAGATGCTATTTACTACTGTAGCTAGCCCGTGCCGGGACTCTCCGCGAGCTACTAGCGGGATATCGCAGGCCATAAAAAGCCCAGCCATCAATTAGTTGGTTACCGCACATGCGCAGTTCGCCGAGGGTTTGCACTTTAGTGCTTTTCATTGCTAATGTAATAGCGCTGAAAGGAAAGCTGTGCGCTGACGGCACGTTATGCAGCCCGAACATCGCGGGCAAATCCCAAGTTGGGTCGCTCTCGCTCGCCAACAATGTTCAACATATCCACTATTATTATATATCGTACCGTCCTGTAAGTGCGCATGCGCGACTTTGTACGCGCTTTTCCAATTTTTTACACGATTTTCACACACAGTGCCGCGCCGATCGATCTAGCCAGCTAGAGAACTCTCCTCCATTCGACTGTATGCGCTGCACCTTCGGTGACTGACCGAGGCTGTACTTTCTTCTTCACAATCTTAATGGTCCCAAAGTTCAACTTGCAAATACGCAATGATTGCTCGTGTACGTACTGCTGCATGCCAGCTGCCTGGTGGACACGACTGACGAGCTGAAAGCGTAAGGTACAGTACCGTTCTGCTCACGCTGCTCACCGTTTCTGCCAATGGCATATAACGGCGACAGGTAGATCTGTCTTGCTTACACGAAAGATGCTGTGCGCTGGCGGCACGTTATGCCAGCCCGAACATCGCGGGCAAATCCCAAGTTGGGTCGCTCCCGCTCACCAACAATGTTTTCAACATTTCCACTAGTTATAGCTCGCACCGAGAAGCGTCCGAGCTGCCACTCCGCGTGTTCTATACCGCACGCGCATACCTAGAAAGTAGAAACGGAGCGGAAGCCGAACGCGGAAGCCGTTGCTATGCGTAACAATGACGCTTTAATTTTGGGGGCGTGTCTTAATGTCCGCGCGCGCATTCGCACGCACTTCACATGTACACGTGTGCTAGTCTGGCATCCGTGGCAACCGGTTGCCACGGTTGCCAGACTAGTGCATGTATGCAACGAAGCCATGCTTGCGCAGTACTGTGTACACGTATATACGGACGACGGACACGGACGTATAAATAGCCGCTCGAACGAACGACTATATAGGTCACACTCGCCAAATATCGATTGCTTTGGATTTCGGTGACCTTCATCGATTTGTGAATGAGTAATCCCATGGCCGTATCCATGAGCAATGACGAGCCAGCGGAGCCCAACGTGAAGGGTACCTCTGGTAAAGTGGACGTGGATGGTGTAGAATTATACTTCGAACGTTATGGAAACGGATCACACGCATTACTGTGCATGCCTGGAGCTCTGGCAGGTGCGAATTTTTTTGTTCCACAAATAAACCACTTTGGTCGTCCTGGAAGTGGCTACACTATTTATCGGATACGGACCCACGGGGCTACGGTAGATCAAGACAGTACAGTCGCGTGTACTCGTCTCCTCTTTACTACGAAATTGACGCAAAGGACGCCGTTGGACTTATGAAAGCCTGGGGTTTGAAGAATTTTCACCCTAGGATGGAGCGATGGAGGTACTTGTGCAATCATCACAGCTGCCATGTTTCAGGGATGCCATCAAAAACCTAGTCGTATGGGGTGCACATGCTTACGTTGAACAAAGTGATTTAGAGAATTTTGAGAAACTGAGAAACGTTGACAATTGGAATCCTACAATAAGGACATATGATGGAACAATACTATAGGCAAGAATTGGCTACAGCCTATAACAAGTGGCTTGATGGATTCTCAAGTGTCTGCACTGATCCAGTGAGACAAGGTGATATTTGTAAGAAGGAGGTTCGGGAGGTTCGGTGTCCAACTCTGATAGTTCACGGAGACCAGGACGCAATCGTTCCAATCTCTCAAATCGAATTTTCTTCAGAACAATTTCCAAAATAGCCAGTGTGAAATCATAACAGGAGGAAAGCATACCTTGCACTGGAAATATTGCACAAAATTCAACAAAACTGTCGATGAGTTTTTCCAAAAACCAAAACTCGGATTGGCTTTATAAATAATAATGCATGTAGCCTTATGCAATTCTGTCGAGTTTGTGCTTATACTTTTCAGACCAATCATCTCTTTCTGCGCTGCATATTTGTACTGAGTATACGTATAATATTATATTTTGTGTTATGCTGTACATTGCTGGGGCCCATGCAAGTAAACAAGGAAAGCCATCTTAACTACATTGTAATAGATGTGGGTACTCAAGAATGTCCTTCCTGAGTATAGTCAATCAATACTTGTAAAATGCAGTGCCAAGGATGTTGCTCGTAAAGTAAGATGATCTTATCTGCTCTAAAGCTTCTTGATTTCCATCATTTTTGACTTTGGAATGCTAAGTTATTACATGCTTACATTTTATACGTGTCCATTCAGTAATGTGTACAATACGACATCACTTCCTGTTTTGTGGCATTACTGGAACTGGACATCCCTCCATTATTTTTCACACACTGGGTTGGGGACTTGGTCTAGATTGACTATCTTGTGTCACTAAACAACATGCACATTAGGTAGGGTCGGTAATAATAACGACTATAATTACACGCCCAACAGGTTAACGTTTTTTGTTAAAGACATAATGGTGATTTCATGTTTTGCTACCTTACAATAAGTATTACAATAAAACATTGCTAAAGTCAGCTTGGTGGCCAGCTCTCTTAATGTAGTTACACTTTTCAAGTTAGAGTCCAGTGGGACAGTAATGGAGTTGACTAGGATTAATCACTATTATTCTCTGATTGTAGGTGATGTAAGGATGTTCAGAGAAAAAGGGTATTAGTGATCAAACTTGGTCAAAGAAGACACCTGTAGCTATTATACAGGTGTCGAAACTCAATGTCATTGCATTCTTCAAGCTAATTAGCTAAGTGGGTACTAAGTTGCAGAACCATACAAGTCAGGTAATTTCACTGTCCTTGAAAAATGATGCGTGGCAGTTGTCTTCCGAATGAAATTACCACGCCCCCTTGCGTTTTTTCCTATATATATAAGTCCCTTAGGATGAAATGTTACCCCATGCCCAATATTATTTTCCATTGAAAGGTAGTACGAATAAGTTTTAAAATTACTAGTTTTGGGTGTGTAACCCATGAAGGCAATCGTAGTATAATTATACACAAAATTTTTATTAATTGCACTGAAGTACAAAGCAAATTGAGAATAATTATGTACAGCTTGTATGGAGTGAGAACTTTGGCGCATGCATCACACAATAATGTATAAAAATGAAGGCCCTGTTCATGAGCACATTATTATTCATTGCACCTAACTACAAAGCAACACGCAATGAAATAAAAACTGAGAGTAGCTAGTATTGTAAGGCCAGGAGATGATGACTGTTCTCTACTTGCGGGAGGAGCGGCCACGTCGGAAGGACTTGGAGTGCTCAAACCTCTGCTCCATCTCCTCCAGGACCTTGGGAGAGTACTTGACTACTACCTTCACCTTTCCTGTGTATATAGAATGTAGACAGTGATGATTGACTGATAATGACAGGGGTGTACCCACTGGCACAAAATCTATAATATACATACATGTCCAGTTTGCCAACAAGACACTTTTTTTACATCACTGCACAGTGTTGTAAGGACAAGGGGTAGGATTACTAATGGCAATGGATGCTGGACATTCCGTTAACATTAGTGCTGTAGTCAAGGAAGTGAAAATGTGAGGGTCTGTGATGTCAAGCTATAGTGTTATGGAACAAAGGAAATGAGTAATTATGACTTTACTGCCTTCTTCCCTTAACAATAGTCCTAAATTTGTGGTTGCTATTGGAGTAGGTATGGTGCTGGATGGAAGTGTCATACCAGAAGCTCCTTTCAGCAGATCAATGGCTCTCTCATGGGACGCCTCTTCCAGTGACTGTAGAGGGAGCAGTGGGATTGTAACATGTAGCTATATCTACTTATTGGATGTCATTGCTGGCATGATACACTCTAATGGTTAATGGTTAGTATATAAACTGCGTTTGTAACTAACTAGTACAGTATCACATAATTTCAGAAGCCCTTGATCATAGACTAAACTATCGGCTCAAAATAATGATACAGGGAGGCCTGCGAATGCGGGTCCGCTTAACGTCTTGAGGCCATCATCCTGATGTCGCGCCAGCGACGAAACAGCCAGCCTGAGGCGTGCGCATCCCAGCACTCTGCAATAACTATGTATATATAGGTTACACTATGCCCACGAGAAGGTTTAGTGGACATACACTACGAGTGCGCTGTCGAGTGGGTGTAGTGTAACCAATTTGTACCACAGGAATGCGCACTAAGACAACTTATTAGTATGCATGCCATGGTGTATGAGAGCTCATACACCACATGTGAGTGTATGGCTGAGTCAGCACACCATACACCATGGCATGCATACTAATAAGTTGTCTTAGTGCGCATACACTGCGTGCGGTGCCTTTGATTTCTAGGGCTTCTGTGGTACAAGTATGTATACATGTATGTATGTATGCATGTATGTGTATGTATGTATGTTTGTTGGATATCCCTAGGCAACCGACATGTATGAAGCTAGGTACTGGGGGATTTTATATATCAGTCTATACAATCCTACATGTGCAAGCAGGATTCATGCATGTCATTTGCTTGCCTTGGGATATCCAACAAATCTGTTGCAGTGTCCAGAATGGACAGCATGAGCCCTTACAGGGTTCATGCTGTCCTGTCTGGAATGTATGCATGCATGTATGTATGTGTACCCTTTCACACAGAGACGGGCTGTACTTTTATGTTCGTATAAACGACATTCGAACTTGAAAGACTCAGGCTTTTGACGACAACTTCTCAGTTACATAGTTACAGCATGGATTCCATGGTGCCGCACTTTGTTCACGTTTCTAGCTATGTACAACATGGCACTGCTCAAACTGAGCTATATCACATGGCAATGATATTACTGTACCTCTCCATTGACAGAGAGGAGCTGGTCTCCCCTCCTTAGTCCTCCATGTCTGCGATATTAGGGGGAAAAACACCAACTTTAGCTGACGCACAACATCCTGTTAACTATTTTCTCACCTGTCGGCATAGCCGCCGGCAATGATCCTGGATATGTAGATTGGGCACTTCTGCTCAATTCCTCCCATGACATTGAAGCCAAACCCCTCCGTAGTCTGTAGTATCAGTCACAGTGTGGGTTAATTAACCCTTAGCCAGCCACAGGCATATGTATAATTATGTGCCCAGAGCCACCATAAGTCCTTAAGAATATTTATATATGGCTATAATACCAGGCGTTAATATGTTACTATGTATAACGTGATGTTATGATGATGAAATGTTAATACATACCCACCACGTTTATACTCTTGTTGTACATACATGTGACAAAAGGCAAAGGCAAACCAAACAAGTCAACTGCACCCAAGACAAGCATACAAAAGGTCGGCAATCATGACACTGAAGACATGTATTGCTCAATATTATATAAGAATTCTACGCAGCATGGAGGCTTTCCTGGGAGCACAAAATGTAGCACACTGTAGACACGAACAGCAACATGCTCCATTCCATGTTCACATAAATATTGCACAGTAATAAAGGGGCTCTAATTCCACAATATACAGGGGTTTCCACCGAAGGCAGGCTAAGGAAGGTTCTACTATGTGATATGTACATATTATAAACCCTAGACGGACAACAGTGATGGGCACTGATTAAGAGACAGTAAGCTGTGCATGGAGCTACAGTACCTTCTCAATGTCGACAATTCTGGGATGTCCCTGACCTTCACTGGCAGCGAATGCTGCAACAGTTGCCTGTAATTGCACACAAGGAGAGAGAGAGGTCGCGAGGTCACAGTAAACTCATTGCCCAGAGTGAGAGAGAGAGACAACCTAGTGGTCTGAACGATACGTTCCTAGCCTCACCCCCCCCAGTATTACGGTATGTGCAACAGCGTCACACACATGGAAAAGGACAACAGTGGAACTTCCGATAAAGGACCCTCCGAGATAGGGACAACCTCTCTACAAAGGACACTTGTTTCAACCCCATACGAATACTTTGTGACCTCCGAGATAGGAACAACCTCTCCACAAGGGACGAAAATAGTTGTTGGCCTCATAGTGTCCCTTGTTCGGAGGTTCAACTGCATAAACGAACGTTATGTAGGTACAAGCTCACTTTGTATGCTTACAGTCGAACCTCGTTAATATGAACTCCAGGGGACGATCATTATTAAAAGGAATTTCACTATAACAGTAGCTAGCTGTATTAGTGTTATAATGCCTGGGGATTTCAAAGTGGTTCATATTAAGCAGGTATTTCGCTTTAAGAGTGTTCGTATTGCGAGGTTCCACTATACAATACTCTGTGAAGGCTGAGACTATAAACTGGAGTACAGTCAATCTGTCGACAGAGGTTCAGTCATCTCAGACAAGCACATGTTGTCCACTGGAAAGCACTTACCACGACATTCCTATCAGGTTACATAATTATGTGGGAGTCAGCATGTTTATACTACCGATGGGAACGGTAGGTATGTACTATATGTTGCAGTGCCCAGACAGGACAGCATGAACCCTGTAAGGGCGAAGTCTGGGCACTGCAACAGATTTGTTGGATATCCCTAGGCAAATGACATGTATGAACCCTGCTTGCACATGTAGGATTTTATAGGCTGATAAAATCCCCCAGTACCTGGCTTCATACATGTTGGTTGCCTAGGGATATCCAACAAGTAGTTATACAGTAGTTTATAGGGATATGATAACACATGTAAGGTAAATGGGGGTAGCTAACTCTGGACATGCGGCGTAACACCGCCCGCGAAATTTTTCTCTGCGCAAAAAAAACGCGAGGAAGATTTGTTAGCGCTTTGGTAGATAGTAATCAAGTGAAATATAATATGCAAATCTTTCTCTTGTTTCTGAATAGCGAGTTATGTCCGTGTATTACCTCGTGTCGGAAGTTACCCCCATTTACCTCACTACGTGATGGTAAATGAAGTGACCCTATCTCTGTAGTCTGGTGTAGCCTGCCCATTTCACGCGGAAGAAATAGTCAGGTGACGTTAGCATCAACGACCCGTACCCCGGGAATGCAGTGGTTACACAACACCCTAACTTTTCCACGTGATTAGTGGGTGAGGTCCGGGGAACGCTCTGAGCTTCGTTACCAGCGGTACACTACTAACCCTGGTTTTTGACGATGGCTAGCACCAGTGCAGTCGACAAGGAACTCTCTCAAGCTTTTGCTGTTTTAGCGGCGCTCACAAAAGCATCAGCAGGCTCTCCTTTCAACAACTATACTATGACGTAACCGCGCATACTAATTACATTCCACACCACTCTGCAATCTGATTGGACTGCAACTATAGTTGAAGAGGGTACGGTTGTTAATGCTAACGTCACCCGACTATTTCTTCCGTGTGAAATAGGCGGGCTACGCCAGACTACTACTACCTCTGGTTGTATGAATATGCTCTAACGCAATGCACATGCAAGAAATCACATACACGGGTTACGTTCACAAAGTGTTGAATGACTCAAACCTAGTGTGATTCTGTAAAGCTGACCTTTGCTGTGGCGATGGCCATGACTTCTGGACTCCCCGATACATCCACCGTCTTGTACACATGCTCATACACCTGAATAGTATTGCACCGCATACATATCATATGGAAGGTGATCTAGGTAACAATTCCACCGAAGATAAACATAGTGAAATATAGTGAACACCCCCAATAAGACCACCTCACCACCATACAGACTTGTATGTATCCCAATTTACCTCAGTAAATCAAAACGTAGCGCTTCATACTCCGGTTCGTTCAGCGCTTACCCCGTTCAAGAACATTGCGGATTTTTTTCGTTACGCACGTTATGCATAATCCCATACATTTCTACGCATACTTTACATACAGCGAGAATAGGACCGCCCTCCTCATTATCTACTTCCGCATGCATTTTTAGCATGAACGTACTTTAATAGACCACATTTCCACTACAGCCCAGAGCTACAGTATGAGTCACAAAAAAGTAAACGAAAGTAACGTTACTTCGAAGTAAGGTTACCGTAAAGTTACGTTACTTGAAAGTAACTCAAAGTTACTAACTAGTAACCTGAGCGTAACTTCAGAGTTACCACAAAGTAACCTGAACGTAACTAACTAGTAACCCGAGCGTAACTTCAGAGTTACCAACTAGGAAGCAAGCTGAAAGTAAACTTGGCGGTTACACCAACGTTACCAAAGCGGCCCATGTTCCACTCATCACACTCAGCCAATCTTCACGAAGAAGTGGTAGCTACGGTCTGAGTGTCCGCTGTACGATCCTCGGGCTACATGTTGCTCCCCCAGCAGACGGTACAAGCAGCGTGCCGGGAAGGACGCGCGCGAAGAAACACTGCGGCTGGCCGGCCACGCCCAGCTCAGCCACGCCCTCTCGACCCTGAAGCACGCGTGTCGCGCGCTGCAGAGTCGCGCTAGAGCCACGGCTATGGCCGTCGGTCGCGAACTGGAAGGCGCGTGCCGCGTTACCCAGTGGAGCTAGCCGTGTGTAGACCGAGCGCAACCGAAGAAAAGTTCACAGTAAGGGGACAGAGCTAAGGGCCAGGGCTAAAGACCTTGTTACTTCAGCATTACTCCACGATAACCTTACAGTGACTAGAAAGTTACTACTCGGTAACTTTACAGTGACTTCAGAGTTACTCCTGAGTGACCTTACAGTGACTTGAAAGTTACTAAAGGTTACTAGATAGTTACTAACGCATAAGTAACTTCGCAAGTAACGTTACTTTCGTTTACTTTTTTGTGACTCATACTGTATAGTTACTATGGACTGACTGGTTTCGCCGTGCAATACTCACATCCTTGACTGAGTTGAAGAAAGCAGACTTGAGTATGTCAGAGAGGAGTTCCATCTGCTTCTTCGGGAGAGATGCGTCATCTCCTGGGAAAGGAAAGTATCGCAAACTGAAAAACTCAATCATTGCTGAAGATTTACTGAGTGTGTTGTGTGCTTTGCCTTTGCCTTGCAATGTCGTCATTTTTGGTATGCGTATACACTATCATAAAAACTTGAAAAGTGTGTATTGATGTACATCTACACCACTGTAGCTAAGCCAGGTTGAGTGTGGATGAAACTATAATTATACTCACTCTCTTGTAGCACTTCCAACAGATGAAGGACTCGGTTAATATCTGGTGACAACGACAGAGATTGAGAGAGGTAAGAGCATAATACACGACGACCACGCCCTAGTTCTGGTTGAGTCTCGGAGAGGCGGCGTACCTTTATCCAATTCAAGGGGAGGAGGTGGCTGCCGAGATGCCGCAAGAGTAGCCATATCTTAACAAACCGTCTCGTAGAGAGGGATACCAATGGTGATACGAACACAACTACACAAGTCAACCAGAGAACCGAAAGGCACGCAAGCAATTTCACGACCTGGGCGTACCAACCACACCCCCACGAGCCCAGCCCAAAACACCCATGCCATTGTGGCCGCCGGGGGGCGGCCGGGCGAGGTTCGGGCTCTTACGCATGCGCTCCCGATTTGCCAGCCAGCTAGTCAAAGCCCCGCCCCGTCACATAATCACATGTTTTGCTCTTTACAACATGAAGCGAGTCCGTCGGGCCAAGTCCAAGTCTGCTTCTCGTTCACCTGGGGAAAGCAGGACCTTTGCAAAGCCTGAAGAAGCACACGACAGAGGTGGCAGGGGAAAGGTCAAGAGCCGTCGGAACCCACCTATTGCGCATCCACCACAGACCACTCAGTCTGCGGAACAGTTTCGTCTGCCATCTCATGGCCCTGGTCGTAAGAATGATCACGCTCTTAAAGATACAAGTTCACCATGTCACTCGGAAGGGCATAGTGATTACTCGTCTGGAGAAAGACATTATCAGCCGTCTTCACCACACTATGACGATCATCACAGAGCTGCAAAGGGTCCAAAACCGAGAGTGTCGTGTCCAAGTAATTCTCAACACGCTGCTAGTTCCCGCCACGTTTCCCGACAGTCACTCTCTCCTGAACGACGGCCTTATTCTACAACCTCACAGGACTATGGTCGTGGAATAACTGGAGCAATGGGCAGGCTAGCAATAGCCGGCTCCAAACACAGATCATTGCCTGCGCTACCCTTCCACAGAGTAAGTAATTCATGTGTTTATCAATGCATTATATGCAGTTATAATAAATATTCGTTTTTTTTTGCTTTTGCTTCTCCAGAGAAGATTTGTTCTGCCAAAGCGAGCTGCTCAGTGTCCACCAAGCATAGCTGACTATCGCGATGGCTACCCTGTAAGTCTTGATACACTGCGTCAATAATATTATCTTACATAATAATTGGCTCTTTTTGGCAGGATATAAAAGACGACAAAAGCAAAAATGCCAACTATGAATTCTACATTGGAAAAATTCCATTTCATCGAAAGGGTAAAGTACACAACCAGTATAAATACTAGTCCGCTGCAGTTGCATGATGCATGGTAAAACTAGTGCATTTACGGCACTAAGTGCTGAAGCCGAAAGTTACTTTGGTATAGTTTACTTAGTTAATATACGGTGATACCATGACTGAATTCTATCTGTAGGTGTGTTAATTGACACAATCTTGGCCAACTGGTGGGGCAGATACGATATTCTCGAAGAACGACATGACTACATTCAGTGGTAAGCGAATGCACTACTAACAAATTTATTAACCCTCGGCGCGCATGCGCAGCGAGGGTTACAGTACTTGTTATAACTGCATGTAATACATAGAATCTATCTATTTGCCTTGAGCATCTGAAGGGGTGTGTTACTATGTAAATGCCTGTCATACTCACCGACGTTTGAGGGGTGGATAATGTGAGATTTGACCTGTGCTTCCTATATATCCCTACATACAGTGTCTAATGATGCTCCAATATTCTCCTGTATGGCTAACAATCCACCAGCATCTTAAAAAATCTTTGTTTAGGCTATTTCCAACCCAAGATGGGAGTGATTTCAACTATTATGCTCAGCCTTTACAAAAACACGAGAAAAAGGTTAGTGTGTTGTTGTGCATTGTAATTACTTATATATATACTATCTATCAGCCGACTTTGAGCAAAATGTTATCAGTGCCAGAATACCATAATAATGAAAGGCACTGAAATGCAAACCCTCGGCGCTGTGATAATAGTGAACACACACGCACAATTATGTAAAGTAATGGGTGGTGCAATGGTATCACCAGGTGTGGTAGAATTGTTGTACTTACTGGTGCTGTATTTAGGTTCATAGATAAGATTATTCTTACCTCCCAAGCCTAACCTAGTGAGCAAAACGCCTTAGTTGGAGGCATATACTTACTGAACTCAACCGTCTTCTCTGTCTAGTCTCACAGGGGTAAAAAAATGGCTGCTGACCACGTGGTCCCAATCAGCGTGCGCTGCTTTGGCCGCCTGCCGCCTCGGAGTCGCGTGCGTTTTGTGGCGTTTTGTGTATACGCACATGCGCGTTGTTAAAATAGCCGCCTTTGCCGTACCGTACAAACAGGAAAACGCTCTAGCTCTGCAACGAAGCAGTTTCAGAGAAAATCCCACATATTTTCTGACCTCCGTCGGCCGCTGGGTATGTAAACCCGTTTTGGACGCGATCTATGACTGGAGAAGTGAGTTCCCACTTAACTGACAGAATGAATGACTGAATGACACACACGCCAACTACAGTAACCCACGCTGCGCATGCGCGCCGAGGGTTAATAATCAGCAAGAACTATCCCTTGGGGTCCCTCTCTACATATGGGTTAGACGCTGGAAGCGAGGGACCTAGGTAAATTCAGAAACCCGAGGGCAGAGCTGTGGTGTATTCCTATGCTCTTAATAGTTGAAATTACTCCCATAGAGTCACATTTTCACCCTTTAGTAATTTCTGAAAAGCCTTTACATTTGTTAACCGTAGATACACACTTTGTGTTAGTAATCACAATAACGTTTTGCCTCTCTAACTTCTAGGCGATATGTGCCGATTCTGAGGCAAGTGGGCGTGTAGTCTTCTGCTACAAGATGATGTTGGACTTTTACGGCATGAAGCTTTTCCCTTCAGGTATTAACCATATTACACATTTGTAATCAACCATGTGTTTGTCTGGCTCTTCTTTTGATTTTGTCACCGCTGGAAAAAGTAGAGTGTGATACTAACAAGTATTAAAGGAAATGTGGCAGTATAATAGTTAGTAAGGCTAAATTGGAAAGCATTCATGCACTGGTTACAAGTGTATCATTTCCTAAAATTCGTAATAATGTACTGATACGTTCCCGTTAATTTTCCTCTTAATTGACTATATACATACGTACGTAGGATATTATATCTGCACCTGCAAAAAATTGTCCCTTGGGGACACTCTCTACATGAATATAAGCGTGCCTCCCATAGAGTCATTTTTCACCCATTAATAATATTTCTGAATTCTTGCACTGGTTACAAGTGTAAACTTCCTAATAATGTACTGATACATTTTCGTTAAGTATGCAATTGACTAACATAACGTAGGATAGTGTATCTCCTGTGAGCAGCTATAGTAATAGAACTGATGAACTATGAAATGGTGGCTTATAATAAAATGTTCTTTAGGAGAAGTCGAGAGAAGTGAATGCTATCTTGAGCGTTTTGCTGCGCTGAATACTTCCAGTCACAATCACAGACGGATAACTCGGATACTCAAATCACTCGGAGAACTTGATCACGAATATCTGAAACCACACTTTTTTGAGGTGTGTCCTAAGAGAAGCAATTCTGTACGGACACCTTGAGAACACTCTTGATAGCTGCTTGAAGTACTGGGTGGAGACAATAAGAGATGAAAACGAGAGGGACAGTCTCTGGCTCTTAGCACAATCACTTGTTGAAGAACGCAATTGTCAGTAAGAGAATGTTTCTTTTTTGTTTTGCACATGAGTATATATGCAGTAAATATAGTAGGTGTTGATCAAGTGGATTGTTGTCAGTAGTTTAATCTCTCTCACTTGCAGTGCTTCAAATATTTCCTTATGTATGTTTGTATAATTATTTAACGCCGTAAATTGCAGTTAACTACCTAAAGTTGATTTGCAGCGGAATCTCTCGTACCGACTCTGAACGTTACTGCTCTGTGTTGTATAATTAACCCTCGGCGGCGCGCACGAGGGTTACAGTAGTGTGTTTGTCTGTCTCTCTGTCGTTTTCTGCCACCACGCGCAACAAACAGGCCAAAAAGCGACACCAACTGGTTCAGCACTACACTGGCTTCATTTTAAAACTGGCGATTTTCGTAAAAGTACCGCGTTCAAAAGTTATGGCGTGAAAAAGCCAATTGCTAATGAGTACCATCACCATGGCTTACCTCGACTGCTTTTGCCGTCAGGCACATTGCGGAGGATATAGCGAGAATACCGAACGCTGCCTACGGTTCCAGCTAGGCAGCACGAGCAATGCACGATCGACGGGTGGTGAGCGAGCCGACGGTTAGTGCAAGCGAGGAGGCAGAGAGCGAGACATGACAATGCGCATGTGTTTATCATATGCGCCACGAACCGCGTGCGTGATGAATGCGCGCGTGTGCTTGTGTGGCCGCCAGGGGCCTTGGTATTGGCGTCATAGCCCCACTGTGGGACTCCACACCGAGGGTTAGCACTTCAGTGCCTTTCATTATACTTTGAAGGAGGATACAGGGATGGCTCAAAACATGAAAAAGGAACAAACGAAAAGAAAGGGGTCATCACACCGCTAAGACACACAAAGCTACATGACACCATCCCTACATCTTTGTTCTATTAATTATTCATAGGCAAAAAAACCTCAGACAAAGATATAGGTATAGTGTCATGTAGCTTTGTATGTTTTAGCTGTCTGATGACCCCTCGTTGCTTCCTTTTCGATGTTTTGAGCCATCCCTATATCCTCCTTAATTTTGAAGAAATGATTTTTCCACACTTAATGATTATGATGACACGAAATCGCGTAAGAGTGAATTATATATCTCGTGGGGAACTGAGGGCACGTAAGAAGTATTGGGGCATATGAATAGCTAGACTATTGCTTGTGATTTTGAAGCCATGGTGAGTCATTATCACCAAGTTGAGGCGTTTTGTATGCGAATCATGTGAGATTTCTTATATAGAGAGGTACTGACGCTCTGATAACAGCTACTTACCGTAAGTACTTGTGGTCTCTGTTTGGCCTACTGAGCATCTATATAGTGGTTGCCATGGAATGCTCAAACCATTAGACCGAAGCCCACGGGAGATCCCTTTGGGTTTCTGAGAAACTCAACTGCATAAACATGTTTAAAGAAGACACAGAAGTGCTGCCATTGAAAGGAGAGATTTTATAGTGCCATTCTTTGGTGTTTCATTGCATGCTTTGATCCCACAGGTCAGTAATGTGGTATGGTATTATAAGCAACCTTTGATGGTCTAGTGTCTAGTGTTGGTTTAGCACCTCTTTTTACTCTACTAGGGGCTTGTACATGGCAATCACTGCTACATTGTATACGATAATAATACCTTCCACGGGAAGAGGGCCAATTACAAACACTTTAGAACTACGACCAAAAATAGTACATAAGTTCAAATGTAGACTCTAAGCTACAGTTTGACGTAAAACAACAAACCTGTGTATATACCCTCTGATTAAAGTTGTGTTTAAAGGTCGAAACTCTTCAACTGTGTATATATACAATAAGTGTATAAACGCATTATACAATTTACCATATTTACCTCTGCAATATTATCAGTTTCCTTAGCATAGAGATTACACTGTAGACACCACCAAAAACAGTAAATGCTGAGGCAGATAAAACGGTTCCTGAATGTTAACCTTCTAATCAGGGAGACTACAATAATAGCTACTGTCATAAATAATAATTTTCGGAGTGCCAATACTTGCCAACACTTTTCCATGCTTGCCACCTTTTATGTATAATTATTGTCCCAGGGCTGCATCAGGCCTTGTAACTTCGTTTCTGAGCACATTACAGTTGTTATGACTCCTAAAAACATATATAAGGATGAAAGCCTCTCCTTTAACGCAGGCCACGGCACAGCTATTAGACAAGAATTCGGAAAATGATCTTACCATAATCAGCCGGAATGTAGGGTTCATTTTCAATATTATATATACACTTCAGTATGTGGCAATATGCTCCTAGAACACATATTTTATATGTAGCTATGCATTTTAATTCATGTTAGATACGTCATCAAATATAAGGGAATGTGACTGTAAGTGCAATAGGGCACAGTGCAAGAATTGACTTAAGTTTGCGTCTATAGCTAGTAAAAAGTTTCTCTTTATGTACTACCACAGATTATTTTTACAAACACTTCAGATTCCACGGGCATCTTCTTCTAAGCAATTAGCCATGATGACGTTGGCACTGTCTCACACGTACAGTAATGTTTTACTTTGACGATCAGCTGGCACATGTGTGAGTCACACATAGTTTGCCAGAGTTGAGGAAGGATGAGTGTGGCTTGGTGTCGGACCTCTAACAAATTATGCAGCAGCTAGATTTCACACCTTACAGTAGTAGTATAGCTCCTTTTGCACTTGCCATTCTGATTGTCTTACTTGTCTTTTCACAGTTCTGGACATAGCTGGTAGCTATCGCATACATATTTACTGTTTAGCCAGAGTTTAAAGTAAACTTCATTTGCAACATTTCAGAGCCTTTTCAGTATACTGTGTGATCATAATGCAGCTATGCTGTGGTTCACACTTACCAATATGTTTTTAAAGCTGACAAGATTTGTAGCTGCATGTGTTTTTATAGTCACTCGCTGTGCAAGCTGTTTTTCCAATTAACATTCACATAATAGCTAGATCACACAAGTTCTGTTGCAGGATCAACAAAATTTTCACCATATGACAACAATGAGGTCCCAAGGCAATGGCAAAGCAAACACCACAACTGCACCCAAGTCAACACAAATCAAAGGCGAAGCCCAACTGTGCTAAACTCTCACTCTTAGTGCATTGCTTTGAGTTTATTGAAAACCACCAAAGACACCAACTCCAAACTAAGTATGATGCCTGTGTCAACAATGTCACAAGGCAGAGCTAATGCAAAGCAACGACCACAACATCTCATCAAAACAAGTTGCTTATAACGAATCTAACGCCCTTGCCTACATATTATGCACCCTAGGTTTTCCTTTCAATAACACTGCGGGGGTTTAGTGAGTAGGTAGGAGGTCATTTCCCCATCTCCGTAAACCTAAGTGTCTCACAACCAAGTTTGATACTAAAATAGCTAGTTGTCAATTAGCATGGTATAAAATGTTGTGTTTTGCAGTCAAGCGACTTTGAAGGCAGCACAGTTTTCGACTATAAACGTAGCTACCATTACACATTTCGTTTCATAATGCCTGCCACCCACCTTTGTGTTAGAGAGCTGGCTACACTGACACACGAACTGCTCCCCTGCACTGGCACATGACTTCCCTGCACAATCGAGGAAAACGCAGATGCTGAGACAGTTTTTACCAAGAGGCTTGGCCGGCCCATCAATTTAGCAGTGATTTACGTGCTAACAACACACACGTGTGTTTTGCTATGAAGAGAAGTTATACCACTTATAACAAGGAATGTCCATGAGTTGACCTTGTCAGTTCAATCCCAAGTTTCTATTCATAGTCCCAGGTGGTTAACCATGCTCAACTATGAATTTTTGTTCGACATTTTATTAGCTAAGAAGTGTTTACTCCTCCAAAGCATCTGTCTACTCATGCGTGAATTATCACAATCGTGCTGATAAGGCTAAAAAGAGGCGTATGTGCAACTTCAGCAGCTCAGTCAAAGCAGGAAAGAGCGAGTGTAATGGCACCTTCGCGTCTCCTGCTTCTTGTTGCCTCATGCGGTGCGATCCTGTCGCTCGCTCACGTTATTGGTGCAACGACCTTCATGTTCAACTCAGCGTCAGAAGTGATACGGGATGATGACAGCGGACGAATCCGCGGGATACAAAGTCGGGAGAACATGTCGTTTGTACTAGGCGGCCTGTTTCCAATCCACTTCCCCTCCGCCGATTCATCGTCGGCTTCTCCGTGCGGAGCTGTGTGGCCGCAGGCACTGGAGTGGGTGGAGGCGATGCTGTACGCAATAGACAGAATCAACGCAGATCCGGACCTGCTACCTGGTGTGGAGCTGGGCTACGATATTCGAGACACGTGTCTCAGCGAGACTCTGGGACTAGACGAGGCCATCGATCTAATCATCACGGGCAGTAATCTGAACATCGCGAGCTGTCAGGCGGAGTTGGATGCCGCAAAGCCGTCCCCTAACGAGAGTGGTCCAGGAGTGTACCCTGTTCCGACCTCGGGGATAGTGGGTGCCGCAGGAAGCAGAGTTTCCGTCCCCGTGGCCTCGCTTGGCCGACTCTTCAACATGCCGCAGGTCAGCTATGCATCAACCAGTCCGCTTTTGAGCGACCAAACTAGGTACAGCTACTTTCGTCGCACGATTCCCGCGGACGACCTGCAGGTGCAGGCGATGATGGACATTCTGCAGCGCTTCGGTTTGGAACTACGTATCCGTCCTGCATTCAGAGGACACATACGGCTCCGCGGGAGTCAACGAATTTGTCCGGGTGTCGGCGATTAACGGAATTTGCATTGACCTCCGCAGAGGCATCCAGCCATCATTGTCGGATAGCGAGTATAATACTATTGTGGAAGATCTGGGTAACTCGAGAGCAAAGGTTGTGGTATTTTTCGCAATCCAAGACGCCGTGAGAGAAGTACTAACGCGGATACACAATAACGAGACTTTGAGAACCCGTTTCTTGTGGATTGCTAGCGACGGCTGGGCTCACGCTACAAATCTGGTCCATCAGTTCAACGAAACTGCTGCTGGTATGTTTGGTGTGGCGCCACTGACCCAGAAACTCGGTGACCTTGACGACTACTTGTCTCAACTCACAATCAATTCTAACCTTCGCAACGCGTGGTTTCCCGAGTTTTTAGACTGCATGGTGGGAGCTGATTGTAACAATATGACCAGTATTATAGTAGGGCCCTCTTTTCAACAGGATGTTTTTACGCCACTAGTGGTGGACGCAGTCTATGCCTATGCTAATGCTCTGCATAATTTCCTGGTCGATAACTGCAATGAAACGGAGAATGCCCCTTTTCTGTGGTTCAAAGAGA